AAAGAAAGAAAGAAAGAAATTTACCAGTAAACTCATGGATACAGAAAACAAACTGATGGTTGACAGACCAGAGGAGATGAGGGAGCTGGGTGAACAAGGTGAAGGGATTGAGAAATACAAATTGCAGTTACAAAATAGTCACAGGATGTAAAGTACAACTTAGGGAATAAATCAGTAACATTGCAATAATTATGTATGCGGGGTGACAGGTGGGTGCAAGACTTAGCACTTCATAAGTTATGTAAATGTTTAACCACTATGCTGTACACCTGAAACTAACAGAATATTGAATGTCAGTTGTAATTGAAACATAAAAACGGAGAAAAAGTAATTTGTTAGTATCATGATGACTATGACTGAGCGCTGGATAATTTAAAATGTAGCCTAAAATATTGCACATGTTTCTAAGGACAACATTTATGAACACTGAGAATGTGCTTGGCATTGCTTTAAAGGCTGTAAGTGTGCCCTAACCAGTTTGGCTCAGTGGATAGAGCATCGGCCTGCGGACTGAAGGGTCCCAGGTTCGATTCCGGTCAAGGGCATGTACCTAGGCTGCGGGCACATCCCCAGTGGGGGGCATGCAGGAGGCAGCTGATCAATGTTTCTCGCTCACCGATGTTTCTAACTCCCTTCTTCCCTCTCCCTTCTTCTCTGTAAAAAATCAATAAAATATATTTTTTAAAAAAATAAAGGCTGTAAGCGTGTACCTTTGCCCAGGAGGAGGTGGAGCACCCCAGGGGAGTCACAGGGGAGCATTTACCATTGGGAAGTGAGATGAGTGGGATAGCAAGTGCTTTCTCCCCCAGCCAGCATTTTCTGAGCACATTCCAGGTAACAGACACTGTTCTAGGTGCTGAGGAGCTAAAAATGAATAGGATGTGTGTTTTTAAGCAGTTCATAATCTAATAGGAAAAGACAGCCATGTATTTATTCAAAGGTACACCCAGACGCCTGTTCACACCTGAGCACAAGATGGGCTTTGGTCGGATTCACCTGGCGATGGGTAAAGTTTCAGGAGGTGAACCTGAGCTACGTCTGAGGCAGGTGAACCCCAGACCGAAATGAGGGGACTGTAGGGAATGAGCATTGAGGCCTGAGTGACCACATGGTGTCATTGGAGGCTTGGGTCAGGGAAGGAGCAGGGCCCACTGTGATGGAGGTGAAGATGGAAAGACATAATAGATCAGCTTGAGCGTGTCCTGTACATGCCACCCACCTCAGAGAGCTCTTTAGTTTATCCTTCAGACTGTGGGAACGGGAAGGAATTTAAACCCATCCTCAGTTACATGCAAGCAAAGCCGGGATCATCTGAATTTGTTTTTGACCTTCCTTTCGGTTTTCAAATCCTTGTAAAAAGAAAGAAAGGAAAACACACACACACACACACACACACACACACACACACACACACACACACACACACCCTCATTTGGCCTTGCCAGAAAACCAAAGGCTGCAGAGAGAAGGCCAGAGTAGGCAGATTGGCAATGCCCAGAGCAACCTTGGCCGTGCAGAAAGAGACTCACAGACACGAGTGTGCTGCTTGAACTTGTCCTTGGCATTAGGAGACTCAGGGAAGCCATCCAGCAGACTCATTCTCCTTTGTGCCTGCCTCTCCCTCCTTTTTAAACACCCTAGTTTCTTTCTTTGCTTTGCTGCCATTTTTATTTTTTTAATAGTCCAGCTGATTGTGGGAAATTTGCCCTGTGTAGAGTCTGGAATGTCATAAAGGAAACCACTCAATTAAACAGAATTCTGAGTGTCTTTCAGGGCAAACCTCTCCTCCTCCCTCTGGCCCTGCCCCTTGCGGTGCTGGGGTGCTCATGTGTTGGAGCCAGGGTCTCAGGGCACAGGAGGATGTCCGTGGTTTGTAGCTGCCCTCCTCTCTGAAGCCTGCTCCCGGGTGAGCCCAGGCTGCCCGCCTGAGTCACTGGGCTGCTTGGTTCAGGCCAGAAGGTGCGGAGGAGGATGTCGCTCAGCTCAGCCAAGTGTCCCTGCCTGACCTCTTGCTCTTTTTCTGTCCCCATAGGAAAGGTGGAGCTTTCCTGCCACAGAACTTCACTTCCCTTTTCCTCTCTTTATAACACTGCAGCCCTGTCCTACCTCCGGGGAGAATGGCACTCGGCGTTTCCTATGAACAGCACTCTGCAGAATCCCTTTGATCTCAGAGCCAAGGGCTGTGATGGACCTGCTGGGAAAAACACAGCCTGAAAAGCCAGGGCCAACCCTTCCCCTGACGGTGCCATTTCTTAATGTATTTTGCACTCCCTGCCTTCCCCAGGGTGAGGCTTAGGTTCTGGCAGGACCCCAGCGAGCTAGCTATGGTGGGAGCATCTCTGTCCCCTGAGTTCACCCTGATGAGACCCAGGGACCCCTCACTCTTCCAACCACCTTCAGACATTAAGCAAGCACCGCCCCTCCGAGCTGGAGACAGCCCCCACATTGGCTGTCAAGAGGGACCGGGTAACACAACCTGGAAGTGAAGGGAAGTTCATACCCCATAGAGTGAACCTGGACCAAAGAGGGAAAGGAGACCCAAGGGTGTTGGCCAATAAATTCTACCCTGCTCCTCCCTCCTGTGGGTCATTGGCGTGGTATGCCCTGCCAGAGATGTCCCATGCCACCAAGAAGCCATCTGTGTTTTATCGTGAGGCGATGTCCAATTTGTTAACAAGTATTCCCTTGGTTGTCCTTCTGTCTCATTTTTCCAACCCTGCCATTGCACTTTCCAAAGAAGCATTAGCAGATAAGCTTTGCCGTAGACTGTCTTCTAGGGAATCCAGCCACAGTGACCCACTGACCTCAGAAGAACACTCAGGACCCATTAATGTGATTGGTTTGTTCCTGAGTTGGCCTAAGCAGGTATATAACTGCCTGTCCCCACACCTTCTAAAACCCCAGAGGTCAGCCCTTGTTTCTGCCTTGAAGGAGAATAGTTTCAGACCTATAGATCTATTGAAAACATTTATTCAAAAGGGAGCCGTCACAGCACTACTAACAAGAGGAACTAAAAAAGACGGAAACAATCTAAGCTTCAAAAACAATGGAGCATTTTTTAAAAATAAATGATATGTTTTTATAATAAAATCTAGATACATATTAACAATGTATAGACATATTTATTGGCATAAACTTATTAATAATATGTAATTGAAAAAATAAAACTAAATATAGCATGATCTCACTTTTGCAAGAAAGAAATACCTATGTGTTCCCCAGAGTAAGTGACATTCGAGCTATATGTTGAAGGATGTGTGAGAATTAGCCATATATATATATATATATATATATAACTTTGTATAGAAAAATGGGAGGAGGTTACACACCAAATGCAAACAGAGGTTGTCATTTGGTGATAAGGTTATGAGTGAGTTCTCCTTTATTCTTTTTTTTATTATTGATTTTTTTTTAAGAGAGAAACATTGATGTAAGTAACATATATCAGCCGCCTCCCTCACATACCCTGACCAGGGATTGAATCCGTAATTCTTTATACGTATTAGTGTTTAACTTTTTTCTTCTATAAAATATATATTAATTGTGATTTTTTTAAAAAAATTTAAAAGGTAAAAGTATCCTGGACCTGGTGCTCACAAATGCTCTTTCTGGTAGCAACATGCTGTCACTCCCCAGGGAGACTCTGGAAGGCTAAGGATAACAGAAACTTGTATAGGCTTTTATTTGAGGTGAGAATTATTAAGAGGATCTGGTTTGTAATTGTTCAACAAATCATTATATTTGTTGCCGGATAAGGGAGTATGTCTATATCTCTAACAAGAAAGAGTTTATAGTATTCCTGCTCTAACTAACTTCTGTGAGGCAGCTCAGCCAGCATGCCCATATATTCCAATACTTTATTGCAGTTAATAATTGTACTACACTGTATTCTGAAAATAAATATGTTGCCTCTTGAATACTTCTTTTGATATGCTTTTCAGTTCTTGAGAATTTTTCAGAATAAATCATTGCATTGAATTTTTAAGAATAAATCATTACACAGAATGAGGCAAACGGTGGGTAGTTCACTTATTCAACATACACTAAGCTTTGTCTATTTTTCAGAAACTAAGCTGGGTCCTGGGGAATCAGAAGTTGAAGACACCAACTCCTCCTTCAGTGAGTTGGTAGG